ATATATATATATATATATATATATAGACACACACACATATATATGTACAGACATGCATACATATCTATGTGCATGTATGTATACATTGAATCCAATTTAATTGTAATGAGCATTATAATATCAAATTTATTTTGAGACGATAATAATATATGATTAATCAATGAAAAACTAAACTATGTTGATCATTTTTGAAGATTATGATTAAAGCACATGTTGATAAAATTTAAATTAGAATAATATACCAAACTGAAAATTTTTTCCTCGTTTAGATAATGCATACATGCAATGCTACAAGCAAAGGTATCATGCTCGCCTTCACTAATTTCATAGTATAAAAAAGATCTAATAATATTTTTCCCTTAAAGACCATGTTCCATAACAGCAACACAGACTCATGTCCTACATATGCTGTCATATTTTCTGACAACCTCTCTCCTTACTCACACCATGCTAGAAAGTACACCCTCAGCAAAATGAAAAGTTTCAGGAGTCCAACAAAGAGAGGAAGAATAAGAGGGTGAGGAAGCTTGAGAGGGACAGGAAGGCTCATTTGATGATTCCCCAGGGCTGCAAGGCTTTCTTACCATCAAAGGCACAATATCTTCCAGCAGACCTTGCGAACAATGTTCCTTATTATTATTATTATTATCATATAGAGCTTCTTCTTGCATGATTTCATCTCTCATGGCTGAATTTTGGAACTTCTGAACGTCCAAAAAGGTATTTTGTTGACTATCTCCAGTTATCAGTGGCAGCTGCAGAACAGTTGATTGCATTGGTTGGTCTTGATTGAGGATATGATGAGGTTGCCAAGCTAAAGAGTTAGTCTTGGGTTTCTTTGTTACAGACAAGTCATGGGGTTGGGAGTGGAATAAGTGGGAGTAGGTATAGTGAAGGTGGAGGCCTTCATATGTAATTATGAGCATGTTTGGATCTTCAGTTGATCTCTCCACTTGCCTTTTTGCGTTGCACTTGGGATTGGTGCACCTGTAGTAACTCCTGTTTTTTATAAAAGGAAAAGCTAATTAAGTTCAATGAATAGGGCTTTGTCATTTTCCTTTCATATTTTAGCATATATATATATTTATATTAAATGGAAGAAAATTCGTGAATTGCTATTTTTCTATTTAATTAGATGAACCTTTTTGTAATATAATATTAAAACACATACTTTTTATCATTGTGATTACTTTTGTCTCTATTTTTATATCCACTACTAACTAATACTTAAATAATAACTAATACATAAATAAAGAATGTTTGGAAGTGTCATGCATATTATAATAATAGTTAAATGTTCAACTAATATACTATGAGTAACTATTAAAAAATAAGTGGTATGTTAGTATATGTGAATATATGTTTTTGTTGCTATATCATTTTGTGCACAGCTCTAATGCTAGGTTTAATGGCGATCCTTATGTTATTTATTGGATATAAATGGTTTAATTCACGTTTTAGGCAAAATTAATGAAAATTGAGACGCTGTATATCTTTTTTAGCTTTAGTTCTTTAATTTTTATTTTCTTATCGAAATAAAAATTAAGCTCTTTTTGTCGGTGAATGTTAGCTGCAGCAAGAAATTGTAGTGCTCATAATGGTCTTAAGAGTAATAGCTTTGTGCTCTTTTCTAACTGCTTTTTCAGCCTACAGCGAATGAACAGATGGTGCATCTCTTTCTAACTTAAATGCTATTAATTAATTCTGTAATCTTAAATAAGTGTGAAAAATTAGAGTTTTTGCATTGCTGACTCACTGTCATTCCTATAGCTTTCTCTTTTGCTTCATCTTTAAGTTGTACATACTCATGATCATATTAATCTGATCAGAAATTAAGGGGTTGATACACAAAATCATATTTTTATTTAAAAAAAAAATTATTTTATATTTCAAATTCATGAACTTTAGATCATAATAGAGTCAATTCAACTACTACTTCATTGTGTTAAAAAAAAAAAAACAAATACTACTATTTTAACCGTTTAGTATTTTTACGGACTTAAAGTGTAGATTAAATCTTAAGGAAATAGCAAAAAACCTATCCGAAAAAAAAAAAAAAAAAAAAGATTTAAAATTGCTACCACAATCTAACCCAAAATTTCATCTTTTTTAGCACAAAAGATTAAATACCTTGGATTTGGGCTATTTTTGATAGATTTCTGACCATACTTTCTCCACTTGTAGCCATCGTCTGCAACTCCAATACCACAAGTCTTAATTCTGAGAGTATACTTACCCTCCATCTTTGCACTCAGCCCCTTCTCAGGCAACGCAATCCTGCAGTACAAATTGATTAAATAAGTTTGGGCAAACCAGACCAGCACAAACACTGTACAAAATTAATGACTGAAATGGCATCATACATTGGTGATCTGTAACTGCTGTAACCTTCCAACTGTGATCCATTGCTGCAACTCGTTGGCATTTTGATTTTTGTAGGGCCGACCATCGGCTTGGTTATGAGCTCATCTGGTGTGTTCTGTTCTTGCTCGGTCGATTTCCATGGCGGCAAGAATGGTGAAACGGAGGAGCCGTAGAGAATTAGATCCTGCATGATGAGCTCCTCTCTTATGATCTCATTATATCCACCATTGCTCCTATCAACAGAATTCAGCTCTTCAGATTCATTCGATGTCTCCATCCAAACTGTAGAGATCCAAGATGAAGATGAGTTAATCGTGTGGAACTATAAGGACAATAATGGTGATGTCTTTGGCTGACCAATTGCTTGTATTGCCTTCAAGCGCCTTGCAGCCTTCAGGCCTTTAATAGAGAATCAAATGTTAAAATAAATAATTTTACATTACAAAACTGCCCTCGACTCAGTAAAATCTTTGTATTGCCGCATTATAATATATGTAATTATATGAAATAATAAGGATAAGAGAAATTTGAGTTGATAAATAGACCTTATTGGGTTAGTTTTCAAAGGAATGGAGTCATTCAACAACTTAACGGAATAATATTGTCTTATGTGAATCGATCGACTCCACCAAATCAATCACGGCCGTTGGCTTCCATCAAAACGAGTGAAAAACTTTTGATTAAATTTTCTTATAACTATATCTTAAAGCATTTAAATTATGTCCTATCGGTCAAATCATGCAACCACAACACTTGTGAAAACGATACGTCATGTAAGTAAGTTTGAAGGGCATTAGGTAAAAAGCATGCAGAGATTAGATTTACTACGTAGACGTTGACTTGTGGCTATCATATTTTAATTTTAAGAAGAAAACAAAAAAAGGAATTGAATGGGAAGTGGGGACAGGGGGTTGACTCTCAGAAGCTAGACGGGTCAGCGGCATGATACGCATGCCACGTCAGGCCAATTGAAAGGATAGGCGATGGGAGAGAAGCTCTCAAAGTCAACGCCCATGGACGGGGCCTCTAGCTCGACCACGTAGTTCGGCCGGGCCGACTTAGATTTTGTCACCAAGTGCTCCGAGCGTCACGTGAAATAGTTGGAATTGATTGTCCTTTTCTGCGATAAGGTAACTAATCTTCATCTCAGATTCTATTCTTTTTTTCCTTTTACGCTCCTTAGTTGTATTAAAGGACAGTAATAAAGTAAAAAATTGCATTTTATTTAAGCTTTGACTGAAAAAACTTTATATACAATCATATGCATCGATGAGATAAGTTGCAGAAGTAGTGGGAGTGGTAATGCCCATCCAAATATTTTAAATTTATGTTTGTAATTACTTTCTATTTTCTATTTTTAAAATAAAAAATAAAAAAATAATATATAAAAATATTATTTTCTGTTTTTGAAGGTGACCAAGCCTACTAGCCATATTAGTGATAAATGTGACCCATGATGAACTCGCCTGGCTCGAAATGAACTCACCATATCGAACAAACTCTAATTGCCCAAGCCGAAGAACAACTCGTCGTATATGACAAGCCTTGTCAACAAGGTTTACAAGTCGGAATCTATAATTAGGTTAGACTCCTATATAATTTCAAAACTAGTAATTAACAGGCTTTGTTAAGTATATTTTTAATTAATGCAACTCAATTGTGATTTTTCTTATAATGTTCAAACTATAATTAAAACTTATAAATAAATGGTGCACATGAAAGGAAATGGGCTACTTACATTGTAGTGAAATAGAAAGATACTTGGTCTAAAATCTTTTCTCTTATAATAACACATTGAAAAAAAATGTGGAGGATTGAAGGCAGCAACTTTATCTGAAATCACCCTAAGCATTTCATGCAATACATAAATGCGGCATGTATCGCAACTACGTGGCCGAAACTGGAAGACATAGTTAAACATGAACGCTTAGCCAGCTCCCTCCTCTTTTTTTGCTTATATATCAAATGATTTCTGAACTCTCTTAAAATGACATTGGATATCAAATACATGATTTTTTTTTTTGGCTTTTCATTGTAATTTTGCTTGGGTTAGTTCCGTAAACAGTCAAAGTTTGCATATTACACCGACAGTTTTCCCCAATAATAAGTAGGGGAAGGCAAAACCCAGGCTACCTCACTGTAGCTTAAAGATTAAACTGAAAGAAAAAAGAATCAATTCATCAGCAAACTCAAATGTTCAAACTTAGCCAATAAAACGCATACAATTTAGCACTAAAACAGCAGAGTAATAGAGCCACAATACATATTCTTAAACAAAATACTAATCATAAGCTATACTTGATCTGGTGCTGCTTAAGACCAGATTCACCTTTCTCATAATAGTCCTGAATACTGAAAGTCTGAGTAGAGAACTGCACCGAAGCAGCATAAGCAGCTGCACCTCTCCAGGCATCCAAAACTGGATTCAAAGACCTCACAACCTTAAGAGGCGAAAGATAAGGCCGGATCTTCCGAATCCCTGCTTCCAATCGAGACTCAAGACCGGGGAAGAGCGAGCTGCCGCCAAGTACAACAATGGAACTGCACATTCTGTTCTTGAGCTCTTCGTCCTTTGAGGAGAGCCTCCTGAGAGAAACGCCGGTCATCTCATCAAGGCCGGCTTGATCTACTCCAACCATGCTGGGTTGAAATAGTATTTCGGGACAACGAAAGCGCTCGACGCCAAGGTTGATCTTGAAATCCTCAGCAGTTAGCGGCCGGAGCCGGGGAAGCTCGAGTGTTGCCAAGTCTGATTTTGCAATAAATTCTGGGTCAATTTCCTGCTCATAATGGAAGGATTGAAATACTAGATCAGTCTGACAGAAACTAATATGGGCAAAGGAAGGACCGATGACGTGCAGAAATTTTCTCAACAACCATCCAAGTAGAACAGAAATTTCGTACCAGGCTACTAAGTAGAAAAACATCATCTGTAAAATGCTAATTGATGGTATTTGGGTCTAATCACATCAATGAAGTCATTTGTTAAGCTTAAGGCACAGTTTGGTATCATTTTTTGTTACTATTTTTAAAACATGGTTAAAAAGAGAACAAAATAAGTTTTTCACTCAATTAAAAACACCATTTTTAATATTTTAAAAAAATAATCCCAGCTATCATTCGTTCTAAGAGGAGGCTGGGACAATAAATACTCAATCTTGTAGAATTTCTATAATGAGTTTCTAGTTCCTTGCTGGCTGAAATGCTTCGCATCTGGCGATTCCTCGGTATACCCCGGTTTCACTTGTTTTCAGAACAGCCGACAATGAAAAGAGAGCAAATTTTAGGAGCTACAGTGACTAGTTTGAGCGACAACATCATATTTGTTTTTCTTTTTTAATTTTGAAAAAGAATAAATGTGATAATAGCATGGTCAATAACCAGCAGTTACAGCATAAAACACGAAATAATGTAAATTTTTGCACAAAACTAACCTGGAGCCTGTTGGTTACACGAGCTAGTTCTGTCTCATCCTCCTCAAGACTGTCATCATCATCATCATTATCCCTGCTCATCAGTTTGTAAAGCTGCCAATCTTCATCTCTAGCTCCAAAAGTGTCCTCACCCTTTCCTCGATCAAATGCTGCAGTTGTCAAGAGTCGCATTCTCTCTTTCTGTGCAGAATTCAAGCGCTCACCCCGGCCAACACCACCTGATGAATTACCGTTTCCATTTGCCTTCAGACGTTTCCGTTGTTCAACTCTCTCACAGAGCTCTCTATATTTTACACGTGTTTGTTCAAGATAGAGTTCTGGATTCTCTCTGAAATGTAAAAGATCAGATATTGGAAATTAAGTATGATAAAAAAGTTGTTTGCAAAAATTAGAAGGAAGCTCTGGCATCCAAATGAAATACATAATCATGTTAACATCAATAAAAAGAATCATAAAAGCCTCACATCCATATGGAAAGTACTGAATGATGAGTAGAAGCAGATTGATGAAATAGATAAATATGCAGAAGATGGGAGTTTCATTCCGCAAAAACTAATCTTTTACTTTTCATATAACTTGGTCACAAAAACACGCGCGCGTGCACACACATATGGCACGTCTTTAAGTTCTCAGAAATAAGCAAAATGGGGAGAATGATCTCATCTTACAGGCGTTTTTCTTCATCTTGTTGATTTTGTTTCTCACGAAGCAATTCTTCATTAAATTTTTTCTGCTTGGCACGCAACCTGCCCTCAGATGTGGTCTTCAGAAATATCTGTTTTTTCTTTTCTTTTAGCTGCAGAAAGAAAAAATGTCACGCAAAGTAGACATACGATATACTAATTTCCAAATATAAAAAAAAGGACCAAGAAATCTCTAGGATCGAACAATAGTTATTCAGCATACAAGAATGGTATACAAAAATGGCACCATAAACTTCACACAGAATATAATTTTTAAAGGAAAATAAAAAAAATGCATGGGTGTACACTCCATATACCTGCTCAGGGGTTAACATGTTGTCAGGAATACTGATTAGAGGATATTTCTCAGACAATGAAGCATCTGCCTTCTCCTCAATCTCACTTGGCTCACCCCTAGCTTTCCGAAGGGATTGTGTTACCCTATTTACAGCAGATTCAATTTCTTGTTTGGAACTGAAAACAGTGGCAGACAGAACAGAATACATCTCTTCTTCCTCCACCTCTTCAAGCTGTTGCATTAAATCTTCCAGCCCATGCAATTCATGTTCAAGCTCAAATATTCTAGTAGACTTCTTTGCAGCAGCTATATCTCGCAGTCTTTGACCTTGTTTTTCCTTCAAAGCTGCCTTTCTCGCAAGTTCTTCTTCTGATGGAGCATCCTCCTGAGAAGGGGGAATCCATGGAAGCTGCCAACACCTCGTTTTCTCTTCAGCTTCTTTTGTCCCTTTCTGCAGTGAGAGCAATAACGTCATCATTAGAGAAAAAAAGACCAGCATAGATACAGATTTTGGAGATTTAAGGGAGTTTTCTGATGTCAACCATTTTCTAACCCAACAAGGGTAGCATGTTGTTACTTTATGTGACACTTAAACACTTCATTAAAAACTGCCAACACATGAATATTTATTTAGGCAAGTGGAATAGCATTAAGCGTCATAATAATAATAATTAAAAATTAGTAAATAGTTAAGTTATAAGGATTTCATAGAGCTCTAATATCACATCCAATCCTAAAGCATATCAATATAAAGAAGGCAGTTTGTCCCACAAGAGCCATAAGAAAGGAGCAAACAAAAGATCGACTTAATAAAAAATAATAAACAATAGGATAACTGGTGAGTTGAATTGATAGATAAGGAGAAACTTTCATAAAGCCAAGAGCAATTGTTGGGATAAAGATAATTAAGATTATGATGGCGACAATTGAAGAAATTTTAAGTAGAAAATTCCAACCAAGAAAGACAAACATGAGTCACAAAAGGGTGTAAATCACATTTATATAACCCTATGTACTCACCTGCCTTTGCTAGAAGTTCTCCAACAACTCCAGGGTCTTTAATGAACAGAAAGAAAATAACATCACACATATCCTTGACATTCAAATCACAGTTTCAAATTTCAATCGCCATTTTCTAATGTTATTTGCAGCCAAAGCAGCAATTTTGGAGAAATAACTAAGAAGTGATTTAAATGCACTCAACTTCTGCATTGAAAATGTATAAATCTCAATCACAGATAGAGAACCTTTGAAATCAAAATCATCCGATCGCCCTAAGAACCCAAGTTTCTAGCTTCATAAACATTCTAAATTAGTTGTCCAAACTTTTGAAGAATGTTTAAAAACATAAAAAAGGCTTTGAATCCCTATAATTTTTATTTTATATTTGTCATATAATGTGCACATCTCACTCACAAGGGAAGCCTTTAAAAGCCTAAAATTTGTGTTCATCGCTCAATGAACACGTTGGCTTGGCTGTTGGCTGTAATAAAGTAAATTTCATAACCATGACACAGTTCAGCATCGGTTAAAATTGATCATATTTGTTGCAGCTTTGCAGCAAAAAGTATAACATATGAAAAATCCACTATAAAAAAGCTTTTCCCATCTTTCTTGGTGTGCTCCACATAGATCCTCAAAATTTTATAAAAGAAAAGAACAAAGCAGAGAAATTCCTGAACTGCATACAGATAGCAAATTTCTTCACTATTAATAGAACTAGAAAAAACATTTAGGCAATATGGACATTATTGATTAAAATTATAAATGATGAAAACACCTGAAATAATTGCAATTCCGCAGCATAATCATAAGCAACATAGCAGTGCTCCAGCTTCAGCTCCTCAGCCTTTTCCCATGTTATGCTTGACCTTTTTAAGCGGAACTTAGAAATTAATATTTACCTCAACTTTGATGACGATATAATGCACGGGGTCAGGAAAATATATACATGTGATAGGGATAACTCAAGGAAAGAATTTGCTTCAAATAATCGGTAATATGATATCCACCAACATTTGTCCGACAGCAAGCCTCCGAAACAGGCTCCCCTCCTACAAACTGAAAATAACCATAATGAGCAAAGACTAACGAAATAAAAAAAAAAGAAAAAACGACTGATACATTGGTTGCTTTAAGAAAAATATTGATCAGTACTTGATGTTCAAAGTGGGTGAGAAATACAAACATAAAAGAAAACGAGAAAAAATCTTTTCATGCGAGGGTAAAGAAAATAATGGGTATTGTTTTATGCAAGAAATCAGCAATGTTTGTGTTACTTATGAGAAACATTATATCTCTAAGAAACTTCCTTTTTTTCCTTCTTGCAGCTCAATAAGAGTATAAAAGCCCGCAAAAAGACATGCTACTTTTTGCTTGCTCATGCATACTGGAAGAAGGGAGAAAAAGGTCGTAATACAAACAATGATGAAAACAATGGTGGATCAAAAGAGTGGGGGTGGAGAACAAGAAGAGAAATATCATAATTTCAATCATCTCAAATGATTAAAGAGGTTTAACGATTACACTGATATATGCAAAATCACTCAAACCTCAAAGAAAAATAGGAGTAATTCGAAAATATCCAAAACCAAGTAGAATCCTAAAAAGATTTACAAAAAATGAACTATATAAGATGATCAATACGTATCATTGCAGACGTCAAGAATGCTTCTCCCTAATTGGTGAAAGCCTCCATTGTATTCCTGAACAAGTGGTGAAAGAAACATTGATGCAGAGCTCCAAGTCTACTTTCAAAGGAACAAGCACAAGTCGGCGTTGCATGGTAGTTGTTTTATTTTTAAGTGACTAACAAGATTGACCGACACATATACTTGTTCAGCTGTTTTCACATAAAGCAAAGATGGTTGCCAAATCATAAAAGAGCCATATTCTGCTAGCAGTGTTTCCTCTCTATGAATGTGTTGATGTCAAAAAGAGTGGAGAAAATAGTGGAAAAAATAGCAACAAACTTGCAAGTTTCACTTGGATCTATGCAAGAACCATACAAAACTGTCCATAAATCCTAGGAAGAGACGAATCACTTTTCACACCAAAAAATCCATTCGACAATCCCAAGTGCAAAATGTAGCAAGGCAAGTGCTTCCAACAACAAAGCACAACACACCAAGTGTCACTGATATTTAGGGTTTGACCAAATTACTTCATATTGCTCCAATATAGTTATTTCACTCATTGAAGAAGAGCAACAAATACACACACACACACACACACACACACACACACACATAAGAAGTAGAAGCTCCAAAGCTAAAAGGAAAACACTTAATGAAGGCAGACAAAGACTGGATACTTACTATCGGATGACTGGTAAGAGTCGCTATTGAAAAAGCCTTTGAGCGGCTATGCCACAGCATATTCATGTACAATGCACCAGTCAAGGGAAGTGTACAATATGAGCATTAATGAAAGAAGATATGAAAACATTGTTACAACTAAGATGGTGAACAAATTGAATTTTCTCACATAGGATTACTCTAGGTCTTACTAGCTATCATGGATGCAGAGTGAAACGAAACTGATGTGGCAAAACAATATTTAGTGCAGTTTTTTTGTGATAAAAACTTCAAGTGGAAGTTTGATAGGCTGCTATCCCAATGGGCACATGCCATTGACTGTTAGGATGAAAATAGCAATACAGAAAGCACACTATCTATGATTGTTATAGGAACACAAGTTGGAGCGTGATGGTGAGTAAGAAGTGCTTATGCCATTGTGGGGAAGCTAAAGGAGACAAAACGACGCGTTGGCATCGAAATCATGTCTATAAGAGCTATGTAAGACTTAAGAGTTTATAGATACCATGATAATTCAAACAAAAATCTAGAAGAGGATCGGGAGTCATAAGAGGCTCTATCCTTGCTGCACTAAAATCAAGATGCATTTCCTATCAAGAGTAGACATATAAAGTGGGCAAATTTTTTTATCCATCTAATATAGCCTTAAACAAAATTACGGTATCCAAACTAGAAATGTTTATAACCATTTGATAAAATCATCTGGGATCAATCCCTCCTTCCGTTTTTTATCCTTTCTATGCCTGCATGGAAATTGCCACGCACGCCAGACCGGCTCGGTCCAAATGGGAGAAGGACTGACCATTCCTTCCATGTGCATGGTTCCCTCTAATTTGGAGCGGGCCCACTTCTCTTTAATCCAGAACTACCATTTGTTATTTGTTGTGTTTTAGGTCAGTTTCTGCTTTGGTTTTTTTGTTGTCGGCGTCTTTTCCTTTGTTTGGGTTGAATCCAAGGACAGGTGGCGCTCTGACCATATTTTGCTCCAAATTGGTGATTATCTCCTCATATTTCCTTCCATGTTCCCCTCGCCTGCTTGTTGCTGCCCTCCTTGCACCTCTCCATGATGTTGTCTCATCCTCCTTGCACCTTCCTTACTGTTGCCGCTCCTGCCTACACCTCCTTGGTGTTGTCGCACTTCCTACACCCTCGCTGCTTACTGCCGCCACCTCCTACACCATCCTTAGCCTGTTGCTGCCCTTCCCGAGCCCACTCACCACAACTCAGTCAGCTGTCCCGATGTCGGATAACCTTCCAACCCCTACTTCACCAGCCACCACCACTTTCCCACCTCACCCTAGCGGGGTATTTGTGCTTGTGCCGCGTTTTTTTTCTAATTTAAGGTCATTGATTGTAATCTCTTTTGCTTTACGTAATAAAATTTGCTTTCCCAATCGAGTTTTGGGTTAATTCTGATATCATTTGATATCAGAACTAGTCTAGCTCTAGTCCTATCCTAGGATTTCTAGCATTCTCAATAACTCAACCCCCACACCTAAGAAACACCCCTAAATCAACTTTTATGTTTTTTATTATTTTCAATCAGTTCTCTTCTTTAATCAAAAATAATCTATCGATCCTTTCATTAAATTTTACTATTGGCAAGTAGAAATTCCAATAAATTTAGAAAATTCAGCAGTAGGCTTTTAATTAAGAAGGTCGAGACAAGACAACAATACCCTTTGAAATTCAAAAGCTACATTCCAAAGATGACGATCTTAAACTATTTCATTAGACTACTTTTTTAAAACCAAAAAACTCCATAAATCAAGTTCTGTGTTATCACATTTTCCTTATTTACTTTTCTTCTATGTTGAGCAATGATCCATTGTATTCCTTAAATTACAAATTGTTGGAATTCTATAAAGTTTTGTTTCAAGCACCACCTTTAGAATTGCCAACAAAGTTCACAAGTCCATCACCGGCCCTTTGGCTGGAACCTTGGAAGAACAACAAGGGCAACCAGTTCTGATTGTCAGGTGGCAAATATAAAATGTATCGCACAAAAATCCCTTGAGCGAAGGTAAGGATCTGTTTAGGCAGCTACATCTTATCCAGTTTCTGCTGATAAACAACTTATCTTGATAATCTGCTGATGAGCAGCTGATTCGGATAAGCTGTCTGACTGTTTGATTTGTGCGTTTGGAAAATAGCTGATTCTGAAGAAATGATCATTCTACCCCTGTTTTAGATAAGTTGTTTAGCTGTTTAGTTTGTGCGTTTTGTAAACAACTTATTTATAGTTGTTTTTGGAAAAATGATCATTTCGACCACACGCAGTCGAGCTGTTTGCAACAACAATATAATGAGAAAATATTTAATATAATAAAATCCAAAAAAAAAACACTACATAGCGGATCAAAAGTCATTTTTTTTGCTTTGCTTTTGCAGCATTCTTGTTTTTAATTGATTTATCGTTTGTCAGCAGGAATTATAGGAGAAGAGGAAGTAGCGTGCCAATTTTGCCTACGAGAGGAAGAAGCAATTGGCAGGTGAGAAGACTGCAGATGAGAAACTTGGTTATGAAATTCAAATCCTTACGCCACTCAAATACTAAAATATGTTATTAACACATAAACTTTTACTACTTAAATTTATGTCACCCAAAGATTTCATACCACATAAAAAATACCACATTTATAAATACACTATAAATGACCAAGCCTCTCAAACATGCATAATCGTAAATGAAGCAAATTACAGCAATTGATAAAGCATATTTTATAAATCCACATAACAGTCATATAAGAATTCTATATAATTGCATTTCTTGGAGCAACCCAATTTTTATGTATTAACGTATCTAACACCTAAAATTTGATTTTTACATCTATACCAGTCAGATGTTTTCATGCATAAGAAGTATATAAGTAAATATCAAATTTTAAGTATTGGAAATGTAAACATACAAGAATTGTGTGCTATGTATGTAAGACTTTTAAAAATAGAAGGGTATTCACATACATACCACCCAATTCCTATCTTTTTAGATATCTAACATCAAAATTCCACATTTTACATTTATACCGTCCAAATCTTCTACCTTGTTTTTACATATCTAACATCAAAATTCTTAATTGTTATGCATTTTTTCATCACTTCATTTTCTATATATATATATATATATCGCAAAGAATGAGTTATAGTAATTGAGAGTACAGACGCATAACTGCTCGTTAGCAAAATATAATAAAAAAAGATTGCAGCAAAATCTTGCAAATAAATTATAAGAGGTGATTTTAATAGTAGGAGCAGCACAAAGCAAGGAGAACGGGACATATAGGAAACATAGCAAACAAATGTCTGCCATTGTTTGGATGCATTGTTGCTGCCTTCAACAAGACCTTATAGCGACATGAAATTCAAAATTTTGCAAAAAATAAGAAGAAATCTTCCTAAAATGCAGGGTAGAAATTGAACCATCGTCAAATTCAATTAATCTTAATTTAAGGGTAAATTCACAGAACATTCAACAACTGTCAAAAAAAAGGAAACAAAAACTGACTTTGAACTTCGTCAAAATCCAACATAAATTGTTTTACTTGTTTATAATTTCCTTTCTTCCAAAGATATGTATATTCATACAAGAAAATAAAGTTTAAGAACCCACAAAAAACAATGTCATGATCGAGCAATTTCGTCAGCTATCTGGTCTCGCAAGGCGGCCATTTCCCTTGCACCTTCTCCTTCGCGACTGTAAGCATGTTCTGAGTCTTCATGTGGTATGAGATGACCGACATGAAA